CTGCATCGGGCCACCAGTATTTATGCCCAAAAATCAAGCTTTTACTATCGTTTATTATAATATCTGTTAATTCATATTGTTCAGGCTTTTATTTTTGTTAGTTATACTCCACACGAGAGATTATGTTGTGTTGATCATAGACGGGGTATCAGATAATCCATGCTCACGTGCACAAACACAGAGGCAATGCATACAATGCATAACGATATGAGGTGAATAGAGTCATGCGGACCAATCAGATGCTGCAAATTGCACAGACACATTAACTTGCCCGTAAACCATACTCTACGTACTTCGTACATATAAATCATCGCCAATAAAAAAACTAAGGTGCTTGCTAAACCGACATATATACATATTATCAATATGGTGTCGGTATAAAAAGAGACACTTGTTAATCCGACATCTGGATATATCGACAATTTTTTTATTCCTAAAGAGTGTCGGTATAACCAGAGTGACGTGTATAAATATTAACACTAACTGCATCAAAAAACCGTACCATCCCCTGAAAATGTATGGGGAAATTAATTAGCCAATCAAATTAAATCAACACGGATCAGTATGACGAAACAATATTTGTATTTCACACAACTTTGTATTTTCACCATACAAAAGAATATTTCCGCCATAAAAACAAAAACAAAAGAGTGTCTTCACCGTAATAAAAAAAAGCAAAAATAAAAACGTAGGAACGAAAATGTCGAAAGACAAAAAAAGTCATGAAGACAACGAAAATGTACTTCGCATAACAGCAGGTTTTCCTAAAGAGAATAAGAACGAAATATTCTTGGTAGCTACAAAAGAATATTTCTAGTAGTAATCAAGCTCTTTTCCTAAAGAAGCTACCATCAAAACGTGCTGCAAAGGTGAATACCGTTTGATTAATAAAATCATCGGCACTACGAAATTTTTTTGGGGGTTTTTCCAAAGTAATTTATCTTTGCTAGGGTGGTTTCTGTTATATTTTGCTAATTTAATTTTTTTATATTGTATTAAGTTACTAATCACAATTCATGGCTCGAATCCGTCGCTCAAGAGTTACATAAAAATACTAAAACTATTCTAAATATTTACCGAAATCAAGAAGATATTTCAATAATCCGAAGTGGCACATTTGGAAACGCAAAACAAGCAACTAAAAATCGGAATTTGATTCATTGAAAAGAATTACAATATCATCTATTAAGTTTTGTTTTCAAAGTCGTGCTTCATGGACAAAAACTTTTTTATAATTAAGGTTGCGGATACTAGAAAGGAATATTTGTATGATTTATATAATCTATTATACAACGATTCCATTTTATTTATAAGTACATACAAGATTTAGGATTTCTACAACTTTATAAATCATAACTTTTATAAAAAATTTTTCTTATTTAGACATTACTAATTACGCACAACGCTTTTATTATACACAACGCTATTTTACAAGTAAAATATCACGAGAAAACCATTCAATTTTTTTATACATTTGTGTATCTCTAATTATAATTACAATCAAAATTATCAAATTTATATCATACTATTTACATATCGCCATAGTGCAAACCTTGATACAGTAAAAGATTTAATTGTACTAATTCGTAGTAAGTTGAAACAGTTTTAATGTCGAAAAACTTCATGCTAATTTGAACTTTAAAACCCGATGTATTTTCCCGTATAAAAGTGATTTTCCATGTTAAGTCAGTGCACCTTTAATAATTCTCATTTGGGATATTCCGTCCAAAAATAATAATACGTAATAATAATAATAATTGGTCTTTTTAATTATTCTTTGGTCAGTAATTAACGTCATCCTGAATACAATTTGTCAATTTATTAGTTTTATTTTTTAGTTTTTAAAAAAATCGGAATGAGTTTCCCCCGAAAAATGATTTTTTTTTTTTTTTTTGATGGCGAAACATTTAATTTTTCAAAGATCCATCATACCTCGATCATCATTCACATGTTAATTAAAGAAGTGATGAATGCATTACGTACGTACGTATCTAATATTTGCCAAATTTGATGTCAGAGCTGTCGACCAAAAAAATATGGTCTTTAGTAGAGGTGCAGGTGAATCGTCCCAATGATTGCCGTAACTCATTATAATTATTTTATCAAAGTTACGGCAATCATTGGGACGATTCACCTGCACCTCTAGTCCATAGTATCTAAAAATTCCCAATATAACTGGCATTAAAAATTTTGTCCTGTAAGTAAATTTCATGCTGAAAACTTTTACTTAGAGGTCGGGAATTAGTTGCTATAGTAAATTTTTGTGTTATTAACATTTTTTACAATTTCTTAGGTTTTTTCGCGTTTGGTTTGTTACAAAAGATTCTGTAATATTTATCAAGAAGTTTAGATATATTGATATAAAAATTTGTAATTTTAATTAAACAATGGAATTGGTTAATTCGGGGGGTTTTTTTTTAACGGCAAAAATCTGGTACGTACGTACCTGGTGGAGGCTTATTATGTATCTAGTAATATAAACTTGATAGACTAAGCCACAAAATTAGGTTTATACAATTTAAAATCGAAATAATCATTATTTTTATGAAATCCTTTTTTCCTGTTCTAACAAAAAATTTTCATACATATCACTTACGTTTTTTTTATCCGATAGCTACTATGATCGTACCAACAGATAATTTGAGTTATCTGTTGGTTTCTGTCGTCGTAAGCTATCGAATAATACTGTTATTGGATTAATAAGTATACTTTACCTGTGTGTTGA